CACTTTTTTCATATGACTATAGATAGCTTTGATTACTTTGTCTGAAAACTGCCTGTTTATATCCTTTGACCACTTATCAATTGAGGAATGGCTCTTATTTCTATAAATTTGATTCCATTTTCTACATGTTTGAGAAATGAAGTCTTTATTAGAGAAACTCATTGTAAAAAATTTTTTTCACAGTAATGATTACCAACTATGTATTTCCCTCCATCCTATTTTCCCCTGTTTATCCTACTCTCTCACTCTCCTTTTATCCTGTCCATTCTCAGAAGTGTTTTGCTTCTGACTTTCCCCCCCTCCAAACTGCCCTCCCTTCCATCAGCTCTCCCCCTTCCCCCACTTCTCTCAGCCCCTTCCCTTCCTGCTTTCTTGTGTGGTAAGGTAGATTTCCACACCCAATTGAGTGTGTACATTATTCCCTCTTTGAGCCAATCCCAATGAGAGTAAGGCTCATGTCCTCCCCTCCCCACTTCCCCATTTTCCCTCCACTGTAAAATCTCTTTCAGGCCTCTTTGATGTCAGATAATTTACCCCATTCTACCTCTCCATTTCACCTTCTCCTAGTACATTCTTCTTTCTCATTCCTTAATTTTACTTTTTTAGATAATTATACCATCATATTCAACTCACATCTCTGCTTTGTGTCTGCGTATACTTCTAACTGGCCTAATAATGAGAGTTTTTAGAATTGTAAATATCATTTTCTCATGTAGGCATATAAACAGTTTACCCTTATCAAATTCCCTATGATTTCTCTTTCCTTTTTATGCTTCTTTTGCATCTTGTATTTGAAAATCAAATTTTCTATTCAGCTCTGGTCTTTTCATCAGGAATGCTTGACAGTCCTCTTTTTCATTGAATGTTCATTTCCCCCCTGAAGGATCATACTCAGTTTTGCTGGGTAGGTGATTTTTGGTTGTAATCCTAGCTCATTTGCCCTCTGGAATATCATATTGTAAACCCTCTGATCCTTTAATGTAGAAGCTGCTAATAAATCTTGTGTTATCCTGACTATGGCTCTATGACATTTGAAAAGTTTCTTTTTAACTGCTTACAGTATTTTCTCCTTGATCTGGGAAGTCTGGAATGTTGCTACAATATTTCTGGTAGTTTTCATTTTGGGATCTCTTTCAGGAGGTGATCAGTGGATTCTTTCAATTTCTATTTTAGCCTCTGGTTCTAGAATATCAGGGCAGTTTTCCTTGATAATTTCTTGAAAGATGTTATCTAGACTTTTTTTTTGATCATGACATTCAGGTAGTCCAATAATTCTTAAATTATCTCTCTTGAATCTATTTTCCAAGTCAGTTATTTTTCCAATGAAATATTTCACATCATCTTCTATTTTTTCATTCTTTTAGTTTTGTTTGATTGTTTCTAGATGTCTCATAAAGTCATTAGCTTACATTTGTCCAATTCTAACTTTTAAGGAATTATTTTCTTCAGTGAGCTTTTGTATCTCTTTTCCAATTGGCCAATTCCACTTTTTAAGGAGTTCTTATCAGTGAAATTTTATACATCTTCCATTTGGCCAATTCTGCTTTTCAAGGCATTCTTCTCTTTGGGGGATTTCTGTGCTTCTCTTAGCATTTGGCCTGTTCTGTTTTTAAGGTGTTATTTTCTTCAGTACTTTTTGTGCCTCTTTTACCAATCTGTTGACCCTTTTTTCATGATTTTCTTTCATCACTCTCATTTCTCTTCCCAATTTTTCATCTACTTCTCTTACTTGATTTTTAAAATCCTTGTTGAGCTCTTCCATGGCCTAAGACCAATTCGTATTTTTCTTTGAGGTTTTGGATGCAAGAATTTTGACATTGTTGTCTTCTGAGTGTGCTTTGATCTTCCTTGTAACCATAGTAACTTTCTATGGTGAGAATTTTTTTCTATTGTTTGCTCATTTTCTAGCCTATTTCTTGATTTTTAATTCTAGGATGAAGTGGGGCTCTGCTTTCCAAGTGGAGGGGGCACTGTCCCAAGCTTCAGGTTTTTTGTGCAGCTGTTTTCAAAGGTAATTCTGGGCACCTGTGAATTTTTGGCTCTTCCAAGGTGGTATGATGTAGGGAGAGGTGTGTTTACTATTCTCCTGTACTGTGCACTGGTTTATGAGCAGCCACAAACACTCTTTTCTACCCTGGAACTGTGACCAGGTGCCTGGTCCCTTGCAGTGGAAAGCTTTGTTCTGCTAATGCTCTTCTTCTCACTGGGACTAAGACCCAGCACTGTGACCCAGATCCAAGTATAGGCAATGGTGCCAGTAAAGGAAACTCTGTAAGTCTCCTTCTGATCCTTTGTCCAGTCCCCTTACCATCAGTAGGCATAAAGGTCTGGAACCCATTGCTGCTGCCACTGACTCAGTTGCTCTGAGGTCAGCTTCTGGTTTGCTGGGGCCTGGTCTGCACTGGCATGGCCTGCACTGGACTGCACTCCTCTCTCATCCTGGTGCAACAGACCTTTCCTACCAACCTTCTAAATTGTCTTGGGCTAGAAAACTGTTTCACTCCATCTTTTTGTGGGTTCTGCCACTCTAGAATTTGTTTAGAGTCATTATTTAAAGGTATTTGGAGGGGTGTGGTGGAGAAAAGAGGCAAGTCCCTGCCTTTCCTCTGCCATCTTGGCTCCAAACATTTGTTTTTGTTTTTTAAAGTTTTGAGTTCTAAATTGTATCCCTTTTTCTCCCCCCTCCTCTTTCCCCTCCCTGAAACAGTAAGCAATCTGATATGTTATACATGTGCAATCATGTAAAACATTTCCATATTAGTCATTTTGTATAAGAAAACTCAAAGAAAAAGAATGAAAGAAAGTGAAAAATAGCATGCTTCAGTCTGTATTCAAACAATATCAGTTCTTTCTCTGGAGGTGGACAGTATGCTTCATCATTAGTCCTTTGGGATTCTCTTTAATTATTGTATTGCTGAGAATAGCTAAGTCATTCATAATTGATCACCATACAATATTGCTGTTACTGTGTACAATGTTTTCCTGTTTCTACTCACTTCACTTTACATCAGTTCATATGAGTCTTTCCAGGTTTTTCTGAAATCATCCTGCTTGTCATTTCTTACAGCAAAATACTATTCCATCACAATCATATACCACAACTTGTTTAGCCATTCCCCAATTGATGGGCATCCCCTCAATTTCCACTTCTCAGCTACCACAAAAAGAGCTGCATAAATATTTTTGTACAGATAGGTCCTATTCCTTTGTTTTTCTTTTTGATATCTTTAGGATATAGACCTACCAGTCAGCACATTATTTTAAATGAATTACATTTTGGAACAAAAACATAAATATAAGCAGGACTATTGGTGTGCTAGTAAATGATTAATAACTGCCTCTCTGAAAAAAATGTAAGTATGACACACTTTTAAGTTTATATATTGGCATTAATAACATTTTCTCCATCATTTTCTTAAGGTTTAGAACAGACAAAACAATAAATCAGCCATATTTTTTTAACATTTTCTGATTTCTGAGGTGTAAAGCTCACACTGAAAATTTTAACCATTGCTCTGTTGACCATTTAGACTTGGCCCTAGCACACCCTCTACCTTCTTGAATGACTCAATTTGTTAAAAAAAAAAAAAAGTCTCCAAGACTATGTAACATACCTAAAAGGGTCAGTCAGCTTAATGACAGTTCAGTGTAACAACAGTGGAGGACTGAGAATCTTTCTGCTCCTTCCTTAAGCTCTGGTTAGTGGACTTAATCATCTGATGCATTGGATTTTATTTCTATCACTGCTGTAGCTTTCAACTCCTGCCCTCAGAGTAGCTAGCCTATGTCAGCAAATATCTCAAGATACTTCCATTCTCATCCCAAGCTGACCTAAGATGCTGCTATTAATAGAACAAGCATGATTGCAAAACACCTTAAGGGCAGAGGATTTTACCTTAAGTTACCAAAAAAGAGGATTAATCAGATAGGCAGGAGCTGTACAAGTATTTCCATTAGTGTTTTTTTTTTTAAAAACTTTCCTGTACATGATTTTCTTTTGGTTCTTGGATATCATCACACTTAGGACATTCTGTAGATGGGGTGTAAAAAGTGCTGGGCCAGGAGTCAGGAGAACAGAGTTATAGTTCCAGCTCCACTAGTGTGTGACCCTATGCAAGTCATGTTAACTCCCTGAGCCTCAGTTTCTTCAGCTGTAAAATGAAAGGTTATACGTGGACAACGTAGGAATTTGTTTTGCTTGACTACACATATTTGCTAATGGGTCTTGTTTTTCTTTTTTCTTTTTCTTTTAAATGGGAGGGTTTGAGAAGGAGGGAAAATAAATGCTTAATTAAAACATAAATTGGAAAAATAATTACTAGGTTGATCTCCAAGGATCCTTCTAGCTCTAACATTATGGCTTAGTAATTATTGATGAGGAAGGAAGGAAATGAGAAAGGGAGAGAGGAGGGAGGAATTCATCAAATGGATTAAATTTTTGAGAATCTGACTAAAGTTTTTTCCTGTTTCCACATCCACAAAATGGCGAAGCAGGCAAAAAACATTGGCAGATTGACCATGGAACTAACCAATCATTTTAGAATCCTGCCCCGCCTCCCACCTCTCTCTTTCTTGTACAGGGAGACCCCTCCCTCAAGTGAAAAAGGTTGGGTAAGAAGGTTAGGGGTTTGCAATGGGCTCTACCTGTCTGAGGAGATGGATCCCCAAGTTGTTGCCTGGGAATGTCATCTTTCAGGTAAAACTTCCTTGTGACGTCACGGCCTCAAACAAAAGAGTGTGGGTGTAGCAGAAAGAGCACTGAGCCTCAGGAGTCCTGGCTTTTTAGGGTCAGTCATTCCATCATAGATTTAGAGCCAGAAGTACTCTAAAGGACCTCTCATCCGACCCTTCTTATTTTATGCATGAAGAAGCTGAGACACAGAAAGATTTAAGTGACTTGTCCAGACTCACAGCTAATAAGTATCTGAGGCAGGATACGAACCCAAACTCTTCTGATTCCAAGTTCATAGCATATTATACCATGCTGCCTCCCTGAGTTTTAGTTACCTCATCTGTAAAATGGGCCCCACAATATCAGCCCTAATATGGAGTTGTTGCAAATATCAAATAGGAAAAAGTTTGTAAAAGCGCTTTATAAGCATGAAGCATTCTGCTAATGCGATGAATTGATTGTTACTGTTATTATAGTTATTGTGATGGGTAGTTACGTTACTTTCTGTTTTTAGAGATTTCTATATATTCAGGTTCCCTGAGTTCATCAGGTTGAGGTGGGATGGGTAATGGGTTTGGATAGGGCATGGTAAGTTCGTATTCCTCGTCCTGGAAGCTGGGGGACGGCTCGGGTCTAGAAGGGACCCTCACGACGGCATATTCAGTCTCATGCCCAGGAGCCAGCTTAAGCTTGGGGCCAACATTCTCATAGTCCTCCTCCGTGGAGTTTATGGAAGGCATTCGTCGAGGCACGTGCGTGATGAGGGCATAGAACGGCTCCTTTGCGTTGTCTTCCTGGCTTTCCTGCCAATTGGTTAAAAAAAAAAAAGGCCACATTTGCCTCAGGCGCTCTCTCACCTCCTGCTTTTGGGCAACCCTCCTCCAGTGGTGCCTTCTCCTTTTCTCCCCCTAAACTACAGCTCCTCCTCCCCTGCTGTGCTCTCCGGCCTGCCCTGTCCTAGCAGTGCCCAGTTTACTAGGGCGCTCTGCTCTCAGCTAGCTGTCATAGAGGAAAGCTTTATCCATGAACATTTCAATGAAGATTTGTGACAAATAACAGCTGAGGATGTTCCCTTCCCAAGCTCTGCATTTCTTAAACTTGAGAGGACAGCATTTTATGCGAAAGGGTGGATTTCTAATTGTCTCAAACTCAGTGGTAGATGAAAGGGAGAGGGGTTTCCTTTTATCCCTCCAGATGATGCCACATGGTGGGGGGCAACCCTGTACGTATACTCCCTGGCATGTCCTTGAGTGCACAAGCCCGAGGAGTCTGCATTCTTAGGTCTGTTTCAGAAAAGCAAAATTAATTTCTCCTTACCTGATGATAAGAAGGTGAAACTTCTTCACCTAGAAGAAGAAAGATAAAGCAGTCACTATATAGGTCAGGCCTCTAGGGGTACAGGATTTTGGGGGGGGGGAACAGGCATGGAGCTACAGATGAGGAAAAGAATGAGCAGAGGCCTCTCCTATCGGGAGCCAATCCTATTTCTCTGCAGGCATGAGCTGCTGAACAGAGCTGGAGGAAGTCACAATGGATGTGACAGGGTCCACTCCAAATCAATGTTACTTAACTTCACCATGGCAAAGCAATTCTTTTACTTCTCTCTAATTGATTCTTATTCCTACTCCCCATAGAAGATGTTCCAACCTTCTCTACTCAAAGCTCCCACACTTCCTTCTCCCTCTACCCACTTTTTCAGCTGATGACTTCTCCGATTACTTTACTGAGAAAACAGAGGACATTCACTGTGACTTCCTCTTCTCCCCTCCTCTTTATCTCAAAACCCCATTGACACAGTCTCTCCTTCTTCCTTTAGTCTCTGATAATGAGGTAGTCCTTCTCCTCAACAAGGCCAAGCCCTCTCCATGTATTCTTTTTTTTTTCTTTCGCTTTTTGGTGAGGCAACCAGGGTTAAGTGACTTGCCCAGTGTTGCACAGCTAGTAAGTGTCAAGTATCTAAGGCCAAATTTGAACTCAGGTCCTCCTGACTTCAAGGTTCTATCCACTGTGCCACCTAGCTGCCCCATCTCCAAGGATTCTTGATCCCATTGCCTCCAATCTCCTCTAATAGATTGCCTCTTCCTTCATCTTCCCACCCTCCCAGCCATTTCCAATCTCATCCTATCTACGGGTTCCTTCCCTTCTGCCCACAAACATGGCCAAACCTCTTCATCCTTAAGAAACCTTCACTAGTCCTTTCCATCCCTTCAAGTTGTATTTTTCTCCCTTTCCAGACAAACTTCAGGAAAAGGCTGTCTGGAATCATTGCCCCCATTCCCTCTCTTCTCACTCCTCAACCCTTTGCAATCTGGTTTCCCCACTCAACTTGAGCTTCAATTTCTTTAACTGGCAAATCTAATGGCCTTTCCTCAGTTCTCCTTCTTCTTGACCCTTCTGTAACATTTAGCATTGTTGGCTTTTCTTTTTTCACCTCGATCCTTTTTTCTCTGCTCTTTTGTGACATTGCCCTCTCTTGGCTCTCCTTCTATCTGTCTGCCCACTTCTCAATCCTTTGCTGACTCTTAATTCATACCATATTCCCTCACTGAAGGCATAATCTAAGATTCTGTCCTAGGTCCATTCTCATTTCTCCATAATCTTTCACTTGTTTGGCTTCCTCAGTTCCCATGTTTTGAATTATTATCTCTTTGCAAACTCATGTTTCTCCCAAACTCCAGTTTCAAATCACCAAATAACTATTGGACATTTCAAGTTGAATATCTCATAAATACCTCAAACTTAAACTGTCCTAGGCAGCTAGGTATCACAATAGATGGAGTATTGGACCTGGTGTCAGGAAGACCTGAGTTCAAAATCAGGCATCAGAAATTTACTAGCTGTGTGGCTCTGGGCAAGTCCCTTGAGCTTTGTTTGCCTCAGTTTCCTCACTGTAAAATGGAATAATAATAACAACCACAGTTACTCTACAGGGTTGTTATAAAGATCAGTTGAGATAAAGTGCTATGTAAATGCTAGTTAATATGATGATAACGATGATGTCCAAAATAGAGTCAAGTCTAACTCTCTCCTGATCTTCCTTATTTCTATTCATGGTATAACCATCCTTCCAGTCTCCAAGTCTGTAATCTCTGCATTATCCATGATTCCTCATCCTCTATCCAATCAATTGCCAGATCTTATTGTTTCTACCTCCACAACATATCTTGCATCTGAGTCCTTCTCTGTTCTCATATAACCACCACCTTACTTCAGGTCCTCATCATTTCTATTCTGGACTACTGCAATGACCTCCCAATTGGTCTCTCTGCCTCCACTCCAATCCATCCTACGTATGATTTTGAAAGTGCAGATAGAAATGTGGATTTTGGTTTCTTACAAGATAGAAGTGAATCATTTCATACTATAGATCCTGCTTTAAAGCAGGGATAGGTCAAGATCAGACTTCTGAGTGAATCAGAAAGTCCTTGGGCCTGGGTCCAAGAAGTCACTTCCACACTTCAGAACCTGAACTGCCATCTGCTGCTTGGTAGATCAAATTGATGGAAAAACTGATTAGAGCTGATTAAAGGGAAAAGTTTGCTTTTCCATGAAACATTCTTCCTTTACCTTTCTTGGCACTACCATCTACTTCATGAGAAGTGGAAATCAATTACGTAAGGAAGCAGACCTGGACTTAGGAGAACTGCTTTTGACTGAAAGAGTCAGTCACCAAACCTTTCTAAGAAATGATCATGGAAAAGCTTTTCAGTCTCAAGGAAGGAAGGAAGGAAAGAAGGAAGGAAGGAAGAAAGGAAGGAAGGAAAGAAAGAAGGAAAGAAGGAAGGAAAAAGTATCATGAATGAAGTTAAATGATACGCTATTCAGGAATTAAAAGAATTATGCATAGATATATATCTAGATTATATAGAATTTGCAGGATTCTGACACTACTGTAGCAGAAAGAATTTTTTTCATCAAATGATAGGGTTAAAGATGTAGTCTGGCACTGTGGCTAGAGTTTGACATTAAACCATACCAGTGACATCAATTGTTACACGTGGTTATTTAAAAACCACTTTTGGTGTGGCTTCTAACACTCAGCATAGCACATATGGTGACTGAGATACAAATGATCTATTTGGCGAATTATTTAAAACCCCTTATGGCCAGTGATAGAAACTGGGGGAGGGGAAGGACAGATGAAGGGCAATAGAGAACTTTCTAACCTGCCCAATTTGAAAAATTATTTTCATCTTATGTCAGTGATTGAATAATTACATAATCAGATAAGGGATAAATAAATCCAATAAAGAACAAAATAAAGCCTATTTTTTATGGATTACACACAAAGGCAACATAAGGATATTGTGATTTTGAATTGGTAGACAGCCTTTACAATGCTCCAAGATGCCAGACTGGCAGATAGTCTTCAGGGTAGCCAACCACTACTACTTACTCCCTTGAAAAATTGAAGTATCTCCACAGACTAGTGGGAAAATGCCATATACTTTTTAAAGCAATCTTTAATTGATATGAATTTAATTAAATGGCACCAAGCTAAAATTAAAAAAAATTAATTACTTGTAATGTGTAGAATACTGTGCTACCAGGATACATAAAATAATAGAATTTTTAGGAGCACAACAGACTGAAGTTACAAGACAGAATAGCTCCTGAGTATCACTGTCAAAAAACAGCAATAAAATTCCAAAGAACTCCTAAAAGAAGTTTGCTTTGAGAAAAACTAAAAAAAATTAACAGACAAAAGCTTTCTGACACAATGATAGATTAAAAGAGACAAAAATGCTAGAAGAAAAATATCATAGAAAAACCACAGAAATATCAGAACTAAAATTAGAATTTTCTAAAGATACAGTAGAGTAGATAATAAATACATTGAAGTAAAAAAAAAAAAAGAAAAGAAATGAAATTAGCCAAAAAAATCATAAGATATAATAAAGAGCTGGGTATTCATAAGAAATCCTAGGGAGAATCAATAAATATTCAATCAATTAAGAATCTGTGATGTGCCAGCCACTGTGCTAAGAACTAAAAATTATTATGAAATAGCAGTTAAGAAATACCTTGGAGGAAATATAAATAGAACAATAGACTTAGTGAAAATCAGAAGTATTTTCCTGGAGTACATGATATCCGAAACAGAAGAAGAAGAAAAGAAACATGTCCAACAAATTACACAAAATAATCATGTTGTTTCAATAAATAATTGAATGGCACAAACAAACTTGAAGAGGAAAAGAAAGAGGAAAGGAAAGAGCAGGGCAAAGAGGGCGAAATGGGTAAAGAGTATATGTTGTGTTGTGTGTGTGTTATGGTTGGGATGAGATTAGTACTAATGAAATAAGGAAAATTGTATGATTTCTGATAAAATAAATAATTTTACAAAATATAGTGAGCTAATAGAATATATTGCATTTGCGGTGAGATGAATAATTCTTATCTATTCAAGAAATAGAAGTTACAAGAGAAAAAAAAAGAAAGATTTTATTATTAGCCAGAGTCAAATAAAGAACTTATGAACAACTGCAAAAAAAATCTAGAATAAAAAGGAAAGAAAGAGACAAGGAAGGAATCATCGCTGTAAATTCAAATACTTAAATGGATCTGTGATCTTGTCTATGCAATGCAGATCACAAACCAGACATGTCTGCCTATCCTGTCTAATTCAACCTAGTACCCAGAACCCAAAAGCACTACGAATAACAGCACCCAAGGCCATCAATCCCATTTCTGTCCTAGCTCAGATAGATATTATCTCAAGAAACAAGCTCTGTGGAAATGCGACCTATTTGATGCCTCTTTGCTGGCGCTTTAGTTCCTATCTCCACAGCGGAGGCATCTACTGAATACTTGGAAAAGAAAGTTTTACGTAGTAATATAGTCCTTGGCACCATAAAATGATTCAACATCAGGAGTAGATATGGTCTTATCAATGGAAATGACGTTAAACAAAAATGCATTAACATACGTTTTGCTGCTGTACCCTAAGAACAATGGAGCCTTTCCATCTGATTTGCAGAAGAAACTTCCTATCTGTGTTGTTTTCCCCATTAGAATGTGTGGTCCTTGGGAGCACAAAATTGACCGTCTTGCTTATCTCTAGCTACGGCGCTTAGCCCAGTGCATTGCATATAATCTGTGTTCATTCATTCATCATTCATTCATTGATTCTAGGCATGGTATACAAGCGGTACAATTGCATGGATACAGGACACGGAGTGCTGTGTATAAGGAATGGAAAGAAGTCCAGTTTAGTTGGACTATAGAATGTAGGAAAGAGAAGAATGTATAATTAGTTTTGGAAAGATAAGTTGGGGAAAATTATGAAGCATTTGAAAAACCAAACAGATGAAATATTTTTTGGACATGATCAACTTGGTAATTTATTTTGCTTGGCTATGCATATTTGTTATGAGATTTTTTTTTTCCAATGGGGAGAAGAAGAGAAAAAATATTTTTGTTAACTGAAAAAAAAATTAAAAAGAAGAACCCTCTCCCTAAATGCTGTTGAGAGCTGAAGAAGAAGAAGAAGAAGAAGAAGAAGAAGAAAATGGATTTATATTTTACTGTAGAGACAATAGGGGGCCAGTAGAATTTATTGAGTAAGGGAGTGACGCAGTTGTTGTTGTTTTTGTTGTTTGTCCTTCATTTTCAAAGAGCACCAATGACATCATGGGGTGATGTCTTGACTCATTCGTGAATTGGATGTAAATGAGGAAGAGCTGACTTAGTGACATAGTTAGATCTGAGCTTAAGAAAAATCATTTTGGCAGCTATGTGAAGAATGAATTTGATTAAGGTAGGAAGGCCAGTTAAGAGACCAGTTCCTCTTAGTTGGGTAAGAGTTGATGAGGGCTTGAGCTAATCAGGTGTCTATGTGAAGAGAAGGAAGAACTCTGATGTAAGAGATTCTTCAGAATAAAAATAACAGAATTTGGTAATTGATTGCATATGTGAGGTGAGAAAGAAGGAGCTGTTGAGGTTAACACTGAGGTTTTGAACTTGGAAGTCTAGAAGAACTGTGCTGTCTTCAAGACAGAGAGTTTAGGGATGGTGTGGTGTGGTTGGGAGGAAAGATAATGAGTTCTGTCTGACACTTCAATTTTTAGATGCCTGTAGTATACCCAATTAAAAATGTCCAATAGGCAATTGGCAATGCAGGCTTGGAGAACAACTTGGATTATACACACATACTATATATATTTACATATAATATACATATATATTAGTGCATTGAATATGAATTTTATACTACATATGAATTCATATTCATTTTATTCACATATGCATAAATGTAAATACATACATAAATATATCCCAACTGAAGCTGTAAGAAATAAACTTCATTTAGTATAATGAGGGGCAGCACAGTGTAATAACAGTATTGATTTAGCTGATATTAATATGGTTGTGATGAGGAAACTGAGACTCAGAGGTTAAATGACACATTCAGTTAATAGATCATATAGTGGAAAGAACACTGGTTCTAAAGTAAAAAGACTTGGGTTTGAATTTTAGCCATGCTAGCCATACCAGGGTTACAAGAGGAAGACAAGATGGACCAGCCTTGTGTTGAGGGTGAGGGATGATGTGGACAGCCAGAGTATTCCACAAGTACCTCTGTGATTCAGGAGAAAGTGAGGAGCATGTGTGGTGGATCAAAGTGATGAATTTATGGCATAACATTTTCCAGTCTGGCTTCCAGCATCATCATTCATGTGAAATGGCTCTTCCCAAAGTGATCAGTGACCTCTTAACTGACAAATCTAATGATCTGTTTTTTTAGTCCTCATTCTTCTTGACCTCTTTGCTGTATTTGACAATGTTAGTCAGCTTCTCTTCCTAGATTCTCTATACTTTCTGGGATTTTGTGAAACTGTTCTTTCTTAGTTTTCCTCCTACTTATCCAACCACTCCTCAGACAGCTTTGCTGAGTCATCAATATTATGTTCCTTAATTGTAGATGTATGCCAAGACTCCTTACTGAGAACTCCTTTCTTCTCTATCCACGTTCTTTCTCTATGCTCTTATCAACTCTCATGATTTTAATTATCATCTCCATGCAGATGACTCAAAGATCAATTATACTCTTTTTTCTCCATTGTTGCCCTCAAATGCATCCTTCTCTTTTTTTTTTAATTTGAAGATCTATTCCACCTTCTCCTTAGCAACTAAAATAGGTCCCTTCAAACTCCTTCCACATGCAGATACACACCAGGATAGTTCAGCCAGCTTTGAAATTTAAAATCAAAATCTCCTCATTGGAATGGACCTCAGAGGTCATCTAGTCCATTACTTACCTAGAGGGTTATTTTATGAGAAGAAAAGGATATATATCACAAAGAGATAGCTAGCTAGATAGATAGATCCCTGACAAGTACTCATCCAATATCTATTTGGTGATCTCTAATGATAGGTATATTTCTATCTGAGGCAACCTATTCCATTTTTGGATAGCATTAATTATTAAGAAGTTTTTCTTTATATTTATTCAAAAGTCAGCATCTCTACAGTTTTGACCATCATCATCATCATCATCAATCATCATCATCATCCCTAATACTTCTCCAGGATAAATATTCCCAGTTCCTTTAATTTCTCCTCTGATGGTCTGTTATCCCCTCACCATCCTAGTTACCCTCCTTTGAATACACTCCAGCTTATTAAAATCCTTTATAAAATATGATGCCTAATTTTTTTTTATCACAGTGCTTCAGATGTGTAATCAGGGTTGCATACTGAGTACTTCCTTAGCCCTGGACAATATTCTATAAATGTAGCCTAAGTTCAGATGAGCAATTTAGGATGGTTAACTCATATTTAGCTCAAATTTCTCTAAAGCTACAGATCTTTTGCATTTGCATTTGCTTGTCTGGACATATCATGTACTAATTTAGTCAATTTTGTGATCCATGTATAGGATTTTACATTTATCCTTTATGAATTTAATCTTTTTTTAATTAACTTATTTGGAATTATCAACAATCACTTCCATAAGCTTTTGAGTTTTAAATTTTTCTCCCCCTCCCTCCCCAAGACAGTGCACAAACTGATATAGGCTATACATATATATTCCTATTAAACACATTTTCACATTAGTGATGTTGTAAGTAAGAATTAGAACCAATAGGAGGAACCACCAGAAAGATCAATTTAATCTTTAAAAAAGAAATGTATCAATATTAAAAAAAAAGGAATTAAGAACTTACTTTCCTTGTGGAACTCTTTCTTTCTTCTCTTTATTACTTGTCTAAAAAGAAAGGAAACAATTATTTGTTTGTTTTATTTGTCTAAATATATATTTGTATTATATGTATAAAAAGAAAGGAAACAAACTTCAATATTTACTACATCTGAAAAGGTTCTTATAATGGTAGTAAGAGATTGAATCCAATCTCTTTAATATATCCAAAGCTGTAGCTGCACTAATGACAAAGTGAAACTTTGAGTCCATGGCCCTCAAATAGAGCAAAAGTCAAGCCATGGCAAGGATTTCACATTAGAGGCAAGATGGTAGAGTGGACAAAGAACAATACTTGAAATCTGGATGAATTGGGTTTGAATGCTACCTTATTATCTGTGGGACTGTGTGTGTGTGTGTGTGTGTGTGTGTGTGTGTGTGAGTCAATTTACCTCTTGGAGCTTCTGTTTCTTTATCTGTGAAATGAGGATAGCTGTATTGCTTACCTCACAGGGTTTCATCAATTGAAATAACGTTTTTTCACAAACTTTTAAGGTACTGGAACATGGATAGGGTCTGGACTTGGATTCCATTAGTACAGCGAACTGCCAGATGAGGAAACTTTCTTCCAAAACATGTCAGCACTTTCTCTTTGACTTAGAGTCTTAGAGAATTTGTTAGAATGCTGAGAAGTTAAGAGACTTGACTAGGGTCACACAGCCAGGTTGTGTCAAAGATAGGACTTGAACCCAGTTATTCTTGGCTACAAGGCTGGCTCTCTACTCTTTATGCTGTGCTGCCTTTTTAAAGCGTTAATTATCATCATCATCATCATCATCATTCTGATGATCTACAAACTTTTCCTGTAGAAGTCAAATTCCTTAGGAAACAGGACATTTCCTTTTTGTCTTTGTTTTGCCAGCTTCTAGCAGAGCTCAACTAGTCAGGTTACTACGTACACTATTCAATTTCTTTCCTAAATTGCAAGTTTTGTTATCATCTAGAGACAGGATTTTTGGTGGACAAAGTGGCTAGCCATCTCTATGTGGGCTGAGGGGCCAAAAACGTTTGTCCATCATCTAAAAATATCTGCCTCAATTCATCTAGCATAAGGTTGCAAAGCTCTCCTTCCTGGCCTAAAATTTCCACTGATAAAATAATAATAGTAATTTATATTGTGCCTAGTATAGCCCACTAAAGTTAAGTGCTTTACAAATATCTCATTTTATCTTCACAACCACTCTGGGAGATAGGTGCTTTTGTTATTTACTTATATTTATATAATTATACTGTTGTATTATTAGAGTCACCATTATGGTTTAACAGACATAAAACAGACATCCCCAAACTCACCCTTGCATCACCATACTTAAGATAACTTTTTCTTTACAGGGAAGGGAAAAAAATGTGAAAGATGCAAAATTTGTCCTTGAGTTCTCTAGCATCCCTCTTCTCGACTTTGATTTTATATTGTAGGTATTGTGGCTTAGAAGAAAGGACAAGCTTAGGAGTCAGGTGATCTGGATTCACCCTCCTACCTCTTTCACTTATTCTTCAAGATTAAATACTTGTTCCATAGACTCTTTGGGACCTAGGCCATCTGCAGTGAAATGTACCAGAAGTGCATTTTGTTCTTTAATATTAAACTTGTCTTATGCTCCTTCATAATTTCTTCACTGCTCCCAACTTCTTACAGATCTCTTCAACACTATCAGAAGCAGGAGGGCCTTCTTTGTCCTTCAGTCGGGTTCTGGGGCCACTCAAACTTGCCTCCTTTTGTCCTACAAATTCTTGTTGTTCAGCCGTTTCAGTCATGTCTGAGTCTTTATGACCCCATTTGGGATTTTCTTGGCAAAGATACCAAAGTCGTTTGCCATTTCCTTCTCTAGCTCATTTTACAGATAAGGAAACTGAGGTAAGCAGGGTTAAGTGACTTGCCCAGAGTCACATGGCTAGTAAGTGTCTGAGGCCAGATTTGAACTCAGGAAGATGAGCCTTCCTGACTCCAGGCCCATTGTTCTATCTACTGTGCCACCCGGCTATCCCCTACAAATTCTACTAGTCTTTCACCATAACAAGGATGAAGGGTGCTCGGGAGATCCGTGTCTTCATTACTCTTGGACTTCACTTCTGGGTGTCCTTACGCTGTGAACTTTCTCCATCACATCCCAGTGGGCATTTTCTCCCTGCCCCCTACTTTTCAGCTCTCTTGTCTTTCACATTAGAATGTAAGGTTCTTGAAGGCAGAAACTTTCTTTCTTCTTGCCTGTAGTTGCATTTCCAGTGCTTAATCCAGTGCCTGGCACATAGGAAGAGCTTAATAAATGCTTGTTGAGTTGATAACAAGAGGAAAGTCACTTGACCTCCCTGGGACCCGCTTCCTTCATTTTTAAAATGAGTAAATTAGACTAGATTTTTTCTTCCAGCTCTACACCTATGATTCTAAGGTCCTCTACAGGGGCTCTTCTTTGTCTCCTCTTCAAGCATCTCTTTTGTCCTCATTTAAGAACCTACACATTATCTATCATTCATACCTCAGAGTGAATTTAAGCAAATGAGCTAGCATTCCAACCATATTTGTATTTTAAACTCACTTTCTCCATTTACAGAATAAAAGGGTTTATTTTATTCGGGAATTTCAGGTGTCTGGTATCTGAAAAATATGTTTTTTATGTGTGTGTGGGGGGGGAGGAAGTTCTTTCTACGTCTCTGAAATCATTCCAGATAAACAAAGTAGGTGGCTGTACATACATAAGAATGTCCTCTTTTGTTAGACTGTATTAACCAACTTAGAAGGGGATGTTCAAATCCACAGTGGCCCTGGGATATCTGAAGGGTCTTTACTACTTTAAGGTTACTGATTCTTATTGGACAGAACTAGGGGCTTTAGTCCCAACATGGGGTCTGAATCATATATGGATTTAGAGGTAGAACCAGAGGCCATGGAAGTGATCTAATCCAATTCTCTAATTTTACAAATGGGAAAATTGAGACCCGGTTTTTTTTTCCAGTAGTAAGTGGGAAAGTTTGTAGACAATGACCATAACTACCTGCTACATAGAGGATTTGAATGAGGATTTTGAATTATTCACCAGATAGTAGTTACCTTGATACAGCATTCATCCCAGGGGCTAGAGTCAGTGAAGTGAGGCCAGGGGAACAAGTCGACTTTTCTTTTGTTGTTGTTTAGTTGTATCAGTCATGTCTGACTTTTTGTGACCCCATTTTTGGGGTTTTCTTGGCAAAGATACTGGAATGGTTTGCCATTTCTTTCTGTAGCTTATTTTATAGATGAGGAACTGAGGCAAACAAGGTTAAGTGACTTGCCCAGGGTCACACGGCTAATAAGTGTCTGAAGCAGGATTTGAACTCGTCTTCTTGATTCCAAGCCCAACACTATATCCACCAGTGATCCCATATAAAAATAGCTAGCATTTATAAGTTGGTTTAATGTTTGCAAAGCACTTTACATATATTACCCCATTTGATTCTTGCTGTAACCTTGTAAAGTATTTGAATAATTGTCATATGGAAGAGGAATTAGTATCCCTTCACTTGGCCCCAGAGGAAGAACTAAGGAGCAAAAGGTAGATGCTATGTAGAAGCAGGTTAGGTTCCATGTAAGGAAACCCTCTTAACTACAGCTGTCTAAACAGTGGTGCAGACTTCCTCAGAAAGTACTGGCATCTCTGTAGGTCTTTTTAAAAGTCTCGATGACCTCTCGGCATGTGAAGAAAATCTTTTTTCAGATACTGGTTGGATTAGACGGTCCCTAGGTTCCTAGCAACTGTGAAATGCTGATTCTGTGACAGGTTCTTTCTCCCTGGGGAGAAAACTGCCGGGCTGACCCAACACCGTGCACCCATTTGTGCTTGCTAAATGTCTGCGGATGTTTGATTCACTGCTCTTCCTTCACCTCCTTTAAAAAAAAAAAGGAACCAGCAAAAGCTGCCCCGTAGGCTCTATCGTCAGCAAAGACTGTATTGTCTTCTGAGGTTGTTAGGCCCTGGGCTCCTATTCTCCTCTGGTATTTCAGACGCAGGCCGCTATGAAAGGAGTAGGTGGAAAGAGTTTGGTCCGGTTCAGATTAACTGACATCAGAGGCCCTTTCCCACAAACCTCAAAATAATATCAGTGAAGCAGGAGGAAAAGGAAGTGGCCGCCTCAAAAAACAGAAACCAAGAGCTACAGATGAAATGATTGAAGAGGAGATTGGGTACAAAGATACGTGAAATGAGTGTGCAAAATAGCAACGGATTTAAAGCGTCTTGGTCTAATTTAACTGTGTGTGTTTCTGTTCACCTTGGTCCTGGCAGTAGCAGAGCACTCAAAGCACATGAGATCTCTCTTGCCTTCTCCCTCTTCTTTAGCTGGTCACTGTTTGAAGGTGACTTCTGAGTCCAAAGAGGGCAATCAGTTACCAGCAACCATTTCTTAAACACTCGCTATATGACAAACATGGTGTATTGGGGAATGCAAAAACAAAACAAAACAATTAGGGGAGATAACACGTAAGTAGATACAAAATGTAGAGAGTAAATATGAGATAATTTGGGGGAAAAGAGAGGAGGAATAAGCATTTATTAAGCACCTACTATATGCTAGTCACTGTGTTAAGCGCTTTATAAATATTATCTCATTTGATCCTTACCACAAACTATTATTTTGTGATATAACAAACAAATACATGATATTTGTTACATACATAGTGAATTATCTCTATTTAACACTTGAGGAAACTGAGATCAACAGTAGTTAAGTGACTTGCCTAGGGTCACACAGATAGTAAATGTCTGAGGTCACATTTGAACTCAGATCTTCCTGACTCTAGGCCCACCTAGCTACTAGCCTACTAGTTGGGGGTGAGGCGTCAGAAAGGGCTTCATGTAAAAAGTGGTGCTTGAGCTGAGCTTCAAAGGAATCTGGGGGCAGGGGGGTAGCTCAGTTGCATAGTGGTTAGAACACCGGCCCTGGAGTCAGGAGGACTTGAGGTCAAATCTGGTCTCAGACCAGACATTGGACACTTACTAGCTGTGTGACCATGGGCAAGTCACTTACCCCCAATTGCCTGGCAAAAAAAAGGAATCTAGGAATTCTAAGCTATAGAGGAGGAAGGAGGGCATTCTAGGCATGGGGCACAGCCTGTGCAAAGGCAAGAACACAGAAGATGCAATGTCTTGTCTGAAGAATACCAAGAAGGCCAACCTGTCTAGCCAAGAGAGTTCCTAAAGGGGAGTAAGGTGTGATAAGTCAGGAAAGGGTAGGCTGAAGTTAGACTGGGAAGGGATTTAAATGCCAAATGAAGGCATTAGTATCCCATCCTGTAGGCAATAGGGAGCCAAAGGAGGTTTTTGAGCTGATGAGTGGCCAGACCTGTGCTTTAGGTATTAATTTCACAATTATGTAAAGGAACGACTGGAGAGAGGAGAGAAGTGAGGCAGGGAGTCCACGCCTCCTCCATAGGGCTTTTTTTAAGTTAATGAACCCCAAGACTTTGGCCCTATAACATGACATTCAATTTGGCAACAAATACTGCTCAGTTTGGTTCTCACCTGTACTTTTTCTGTTCTAGGTTTCCAGTTCTCGGCTTCCTGTGTTCCTCTTGGTTGTCCTTTGGCTGGCTACAATAAAACACACCAGGTTCAGTGCTCCTTCCCAGCCCCTTTACACTCTCTCACACTCATTTTTATTTTTGAGGCAGTTAGGGTTAAGTGACTTACCCAGGGTCACACAACTAATAAATGTCTGAAGCTGGATTTGAACTCAGGTCCTCCTGACTTCAGGGCTGGTATTCGGTCCACTGTGCCACCTAGCTGCCCAATCTCCTAGTCTTTTATTGGTGCCCGCAGGAGCAGCAAACCTGCCCTCTACGTCCTCCAGTTAGGCTCTGGGGTCACCCCAACTTGTCTCTGGCTTTTGTCCCACAAGCTCTACTAAATTTAATCTCCTTGAGCCTTAGTTTCTCACCTGTGAAATGCAGACATGGGACAAGATGTCCTCGGAGGTCCCTTCCAGCTCTAGGTTTGCCATAAGATTATCCCATGTGATCCTCACAGCCTTGTTCGGCAGATGCTATTATTATTTCTATTTTACAGATAAGGACTGATTAAATGACTTGGCCAAAGTCACAAATAAATGAGATAGGATTAGAACCTGGTCTCTCTGACTTTAAGTCCAGAAGTTTCTCCATTAAACCTTGCAAAGTGCCTTCCTCTCTATTCCAAAGGCCAAAACCTTAATAAATCCCTGTTTGCTTCAGTGCAGCACTGCAGAATGAACGGCAGCCGCCCAATGAGGCTCTCTGCCATTTGTTCCAAGTGTAACGCCGGCTAAGACAGAGCCCTCTTTAATCCCTATCTTGTGGGCAGGGGTGGCCTCCTTTGATTGGCTGCCTGAATCTTTAAAAATGGAAAGACTGAGCCATTAACTCTTTTTTCCACCACCTTTTTGGATTTGCTCTTTTCCAGTGACTCATATTTGCTGTGTCTAGTATGCATGGGATGCCGTGAGCTGAAGCCCAGAGAGGAGAAGGAAAATCCTCCCCCCCCTCCCTTTTTTACCTCTAACTCTGAAAAATGGTCCTAGTGATGTTTGTTTCTATTCTTTGTTGTTTGTCCTCAGTTTCAGGGATGGGAGATAATCCTGTTGGATAGGGATCTTGAGGCCAGACTGCAGGCAGGGGGTGCAGCCAGACTGATCCCCATAGAAGCCCTGAAAAGCCAGGCCTCCAGGGACTCGAAACCGGGTCTGTGCTCTCTGGGAACCCAAATAAGCCACGAACCTAATTCCTTTCCCCTCCCTAGAGACTGAGGTGGTGCCAGTAGGGAGGGAGATTCTGCCTCCCACATGTTGGGGAGTAAATCTGTATATTTGTGACTATACTTTTTGCAGTAAATGTTCTCTTTGTAAAAGCTCCACAGTGTTACATGTAGGGCCTTGTCTGGGATAAAGTTGGGCCCTTCCCTTTTGCAGAGACCCCTGGAGAGATTCTCTGGTAGCAATGAAGCAGGTTCAACGTTACAACGCCCACATGACTCAAGTAACCAGGGAAGGAGATTTCTCAGACCCTCTTCTGGTGTGATCTTTGAAGAAAAACAATACAAAACAAAACAAAACAAAAAAAAACCTCCTCAGGTAGTATTTACATTTGGAGCTCTTGAACCAGAACAAAACAAAAGAAGAAACAAACAACCCCCCAAACCAACAATATCCAATCCTTTCCTATTTATGAATCTCAAATCAAATGCATCTCTAGAGAGAAAACCTTTCTTCTGATATAGTATAGTTAAGCAAAAAGTGTTCTTAAGCTGGAGTCAGAGGCAACCTGGGTTCAAATCCTGCCTCTTTTATTTACTATCTGTGTACCCTTGGACAAATCACCCAATGTTTATGGGCCGTGGTTTCCCCATTTGTAAAAGGAGGGAGTTGAAGAAGATAACATCGAAGGTTCGTCCTAGGTCTATGTCTACGGCTTCCCGGTTAAAGAGTACTAAGGTACCTTTCTGAGGTGGTCAATTCGTATCAATTCATATTTTGTAATAGTGATCAAATTATAAATACTTTGTGTATCACCACCATTATTATCTGTAGGTATTTACTGAAGAATGTGTGCGTGTGTGTGTGTGTGTGTGTGTGTGTGTGTGTGAGAGAGAGAGAGAAGGAGAGAGGGAAAGGGGGGGAGGGAGGGAGGGACAGAGACAGAGACAGAGAGACAGAGAGAGATTGTGGTTGAGTCATTTTTTAGTTGTGTCCAATTCTTATGACCCCAAGATACTGGAGTATTTTGCCATTTCCTTCTTCAGCTCATTTGATAGATGAAGAAACTGAGGCAAACAGGGTTAAGTGACTTGCTCAGGGTCACACAACTAGTAAGTGTCTGAGGCCAGATTTGAACTCAGAAAGATGAATCTTCCTGACTCCAGGCCCAGCTTTCTTGTCCACTGCATCACCTAGCAGCCCAAGCAAACATACCTTAATTGTCCTAAGTCTTGCCCAGGGTCTTCCTGACTCTAGGCCTCTCGCTCTATTCACTGTACCACCCAGCTGCCCATGAGATATGGATTACAAGAATATTAAGCAGCTCTGATTTGAGGTCAATCAGGAATCAGCAGCCAAAGAGGCTTAATGAAGGGTAAGAGACACTAACTGAGAGAAGCTGAGGAGAAAAGTTGAAGCATCAGAAGATTGAAGAGAAAAGACAGAACTCGGAAGTTATTGGAGCTGAGAGCTTGTTGAAAGCAGAGCCCAGCTAACTTGAGGGTCTGCTGTTTATATAAAGAGCTGATCTGTTTGGAGGAAAGCTCTTCTGTCTGAAAGAGCTGATTGATGGAAAGGAGACTCCTCTGCTGTAGATGAAGGGCTAGCTTCCTTGTTCTCGAGTAACAGCTACAGCATGAAGGCAAACCCACTCAAAGGCATGCTTTATTTTGCCTTTTATTGCCCTGGAGAAGGGAAATCCTTCAAAGCAAATGGAAAACAAAACCCAAACAGCTTTATAGATTCCAGTATTAAAGATGAATGCTTTTCACTGAAGGAGTGTCACACTGGCTAAAGGGACAAATACCTGGGAAACTCTGCGGATGCCAGGCTTAAAGCTGCTATTAGCTAGAAGAGCTTTTTTCATTGTTTCATTAGCCTGAGAGTAATAGGGGAGCAGAGAGGATCAGAAGAGAAGAAGGTGACATGTGGAGACCATAGGCTTGAAGTCCAGAGGTAAGAGTTGTCTAAAACACGTCAGTTTCCCTACTCATGTTCCTCACTGCCGGGTTTTTTCTAAGTGAGTACCAACTCTACTTCTCATCACATTAAAAACAAAACAAAGTAATAACAAAACTTCTGTCCACTGGTGGGGTTATATGGCCCAGATTTATAGGAGGGCTGTTATGTTTTGATTGGTCATTACTTTTACTTCTGTTGAGTAAGTATTATTCATGCTTTTGTTTTTTTGCTTAGCAAATGTTTTATGCTTGAGTTAATGGCATCATTGTGATTGATTTGTGTAAGTGGAAAGTATATTAATGGGAGCTCATTAGCTAGCATTGATGAGCATAGATGTGTTTTCCCCCACCCTAGGGTTACCCCTAGTTTTAAGAGTAACTTGTAGCAGTGTGGCAGCTGTGGCTGGCCCCCTTTCTGGGAAAATTCCCAGACTTGCCAAAAGGAGTACAAATTGAGGTGAATTAGGGTTAGTGCCATATTACATACTCATGCCCTCTTTATACCTAATAAACTTTGTATTTATGTTGTATGTTTTGTGTTTAACTTACATGTGTACTTACTTTATCCTTCAAAGACAATATAAACTCCCTGAAGACAAGAACTATGCCATCTTTATCTTTTTGTCCCCAGCTTAGACCAGTGCCTGGCTTATAATAGGATTTTAATGAATGTTGAATTGTATTGAATCACCCTCCCATTTAGGGAAGAATGGTAATAATAGCTTACATTTATGTAGTGCTTTACAATTTATAAATTGTTTTCCATTTATCATCTCGTTTGATTCTTCCAAAACTTGTGAAGCAAGCAATACAGGTCTTATCCTCGTTTTACAGATAAGGAAGAGGAGACCCAGAGAAGTGGAGACACTTAGCCAGGTTCACACACTGATTAAGTAGCAGAGCTGGAAACCAAACCCAGTTCAGGAAGAAAGTTTCCTTAGCTACCCACCTCTGTTTGAATAGGACAGTGTCTTGCTAGAAGGAAATAAAGTTGCAAAGTTCTGCTTCATGGGAACTACCTTTTTTCAAAGATAACACTGAGGTAGACACAATAGGTGGGATTCTGGGAAGGACAGAAAACCCCTTGAGGGTGGTTAAAGTCTTATTTAAAAAACATATTTCCTATATTTAAACTGGATTTCTGTGTATTATGTTTTCCTTCCTTTTTTTTTTAATTGCGCAAAATGTTGCAGAGAAAACAGCTGGTTCTTTGCCTAAAGCAGCTACACTGGAACAGCTGTGAACTTCAAGAGAAAATGATCACTTCTTTGCTTTGTCCTGCAATAATGTGGCTTTCCAGGGATCTCCCAGCTCTGACTTTTTAATTAGTCCCATTCTTCCTTCTCTGATCTATGTCTCCCAACTATCATTCATCATTTCACTGCTGACACTTAGCCCTCAGAGGGACTAGAGACAGATGTCCTCCCACAGGGTCCCCAATTGTTTTGGTCAGTAATTTCAAGCTCCTCCCCACCCACTTCTTTTTGCCAAATTAAAAAACAAAAACAAACTTTGGAGAAAGAACTTTTGTGAGTTCACCTCCTCTTTCGGAATCCTGCACTGGTGATATCTAATTCAATTTGGAACCATAAGAGTTCCTCCAACAGCTCTACTGTTCCTAAGCACACATCTCTCATTCGGTGCCCCAGACTGTACCCCGGACTACTCCTCTTCCTTCTTTTTTCAACTCCCAAACACCAAAAGGGGGTGTCTGGATAGAAACGTTACTCATTCTATTCACCCTCAGGGAGAGAAGTTAAACTCACAGTTCCCTGGTAGCAGCAGAGATTAAGTTTTAGTAACTTAAAACTTCCAAAAGCACTAAAGATTTTGCAGTGCATACATACACACACACACGTGTGTGTGTGTGTGTGTGTGTGTGTGTGTGAGAGAGAGAGAGAGAGAGAGAGAGAGAGAGAGAGAGAGAGAGAGAGATCTCCAAATAGAATGAAAGCAACTTTAGAAAAAGACTTCTTTTATTTTTGTTCTTGTAATTCCCGGTCCTTAGTACAGGGCAAGACACACTGTAGGCATTATAAGTCTTTCCTCTAATATAAACCTGTGTGATGCTCCACCCCACCCCACCCCACCTCCCCAATGCCTCCTGCTCTTGCCCTCAATTGCACTAAATCTCTTGGTGTCCTAGGCGACTAACTTTCCAAGACCAAGGGATCCTCACCTTTTTTATACTATAGATCCTTATGGCAGTCTGTTGAAACTTCTAACCCCCTTCTCAGAATTACATTTTTAAACGCATAAAACAAAATACATAGGATTACAAAGGAAACAAGATGTTAGTGAAAATAAAGATGAATTTTTTTCCTGTTCAAGTTCAGAGACCCCCTTCTGTTTACCCATGCTCTAAGATGATAAATTTCAAGTGAGTGACTGACCTGCCTATGTGGAAAGAGGTTCTACATTGGGAATTTTTTACTCTAGTGAAATCACTTGTGAAAGAAAAGAAAAATGGGCACATTCCATTTTCATATACGTCAGAATGTTTCATACATTGGCTTATTCTTTTCAAACATACAAATGATGTTTTTTTCCTAAGCAATTCCTAAGCATCAACGAGAAAACTGAGCCATGAAAACGCTTAAGTGAACTTGTCCCATAGAAAATGAGTCCCTTCTGGAGTGTGTTGTGTGTGTGTGTGCTTGGGGAAGCAGGGGAGGGAATAAGCATTTATATAGAGCCCACTATGTTCCAGACACTGTCCTAAGTGCTTTACAAGTATTATCTCATTTGATTTTCACAACAGCCTTGTGAAGTAGGTGCTATTATTATCCCCATTTTGTAGTTGAAGAAATTGAGGCGAACAGAGGTTAAGTGACTTGCCCAGGGTCACACAGCTAATAAGTTGCTGAGACTGGACTTGAATTCAAAAAGATGAGTCTTCTCGACTCCAGGCCCCGTGCTCTATCCTTCAAGTCACATAGCTGCTGTGGTGGACACAGTGAGACTTGTATCATAGGATCATAGGTCGAGAGCTGGAGGAGACAGACCTCAGAGGTCAGCTAGCCTAATCCTATCATTTTACAAAAGAGGAGCCTGCGGCTGTCCAAGGAGATTAAGTGACATTCCCAAGGTCATACAGGTAGTAAACATCAGAGTCAGGGTTCAAACCCAGGTAATCTCATCTCAGACACTTACTAGCTCTGTGATGCAGGCTAAGCCACCTGGCCTTCAGGGACCCCACGTTCCTTATCTGTAAAATGAAGAAACTGGATTCGATGGTCTATAAGGCGTCTTCCACCTCTCCGTCTTTGTTCTTCAGCCACATACAGAACCGTATTGGGAGGGAGCCCAGGTCTGTCTTAGGCTACATGGCTTCCTTCTGTTACCCACGTCCCCAACTCATCCCCATCCCAGATGGAAAGGCGTAAAGCCTTTCTATCTGCAAAGTTTCTTCCTGTAGGGCAGCTCCCTTGTTGCTCTCTGCCCAGCTCCCCGACGGGACAGAGCCCTGAGCCTGCCTAGACTCACCTGAATCTTCTTCGGAGACAGTTCCCCATCCTTTCATTGGGATTCTTAAGCCCAGCTCCTTGTTTCACTTCCCTCTTCATCTGCCCTGTACCAGACCTCAGGACAGAAGGAAACCTAATGTGAAGAGGGCAGCATCATTATTGAACTGCTAGTCTAGGGCACAGTCTAGAGGAAAAAAGACTTTCTAGAAAGGCGAGGAGGATGATAAGGAGGAAACAGAGGGAGGAGAAGAAAGGAATGCATGTCCAACTTTGTGGGTGCCTGGGTCTGCATGTGACTTCCGGAAATGCTAGACAGTGAGATGATGAAACTTGTAGTCCTCACTTCAGTGTTCCAATAAGCCCTGAGGAGGCAGAGTGTGCCAGCTAGTGTGAAATCTCACAGTCCAGACCCTCACCACCTCTCTCCTAGATCATTTCAATGGCGTCCAAGTTGGGCTCCCTGCCTCAAGTCTTTCCCAGCTCTAGTCCATCCTCCACATGACTGCCAAAATGATTTCTCTTTTCTTTTTCCACCACTGATAAATCATAGTTTATTTTTTCTACTTAATAGAATTTTATTTTTTCCAATTACATGTAAAGATAGTTTTCAACATTCACTTTTATAAGATTTTGAGTTCCAAGTTTTTTCTCCCTCCCTTCTTCTCCTCTCTCTCCCTTCCCCTTCTCTTCAAGACGGCAAGCCATCTGATATAGGCTATGTACAATCATATTAAACGTATTTCCACATTAGTCATGCTGTGAAAGAATCAGAACAAAAGGGAAAAGCCATGAGAAAGAAAAAAAAGAAAGAAAATAATATGCTTTGATCTGCATTCAGACTCAATAGTTCTTTCTCTGGAAGCGGATAGCATTTTCCATCAGGAATCTTTTGAAATTGTCTTAGATTGCTGAGAAAAGCTAAATCTATCAAAGATGATCATTGCACAGTGTTGCTGTTACTGTAGTACAATGTTCTTCTGATTCTGCTCCAAAGTGATTTTTCTTAAGGGCAGATCTGGCCAAGTCGTTTGCTACTCAGTAAACTCTGGTGTTTCCCTGTTGCCTGTAAGATGAAATTTAGGCTCCTCATGTTAGCCTGTACAACTTTAGCCCAAACCTATTTTTTCAGTTTTGTTTGTATATTTCTTTTTTTTTAATTAATTTATCTATTTTTAGTTTTCAACATTCACTTCCATAAGCTTTTGAGTTCTAAATATTCTCCCCATCTCTCCCCTCCCCTACTCCAACACGGCATGCAATTTGATATAGGCTCTACGTATACATTCATATTGAACCTATTTTCACATTTGTCATGTTGCGAAGAAGAATTAGATCCAATGGAAGAAACCACAAGAAAGAAGAAACAAAAAAGAAAAAAGAAAAGAAAAAAGAGAGAGAACAAATAATATGCTTCAATCTGCATTCAGACTCCATGGTTCTTTTTCTGAATGTGGACAGCATTTTCCATCATGAGTCCTTTGGAGTTATCTTGGATCCTTGAATTGCTAAGAAGAGCTAAGTCTATCAAAGTTAGTCATCACACATTGTGGCTGTTACTGTGAACAGTGTTCTCCTGGTTCTGCTCACTTCACTCAGAATCAGTTCATTCAAGTCTTTCCAGGTTTTTCTGAAGTCTGCCTCATAATGTCTTAAAGCACAATAGTATCGCATTACATTCATATACCACAACTTATTAAGCCATTCCCCAGCTGAGGGGCATCCCCTCAATTTTCAATTCTTTGCCACCACAAAAAGAGCTGCTGTAAATATTTTTGTACATGTCTGTCCTTTCCCCTTTTTTATAATCTTTTTGGGTTATAGACCTAGAAGTGGTATTACTGGGTCAAAAGGTATGCACATTTTTATAGCCCTTTGGGCATAGTTTCAAATTGCTCTCCAAAATGGTTGGATCAGTTCACAACTCCACCAACAATGCATTAGTGTTCCAATTTTCCCATATCTTCTCCAGCATTTATCATTTTCCTGTTTTGTCATGATAGCCAATCTGATAGGTGTGATGTGGTACCTCAGAGTTGTTTTGATTTGCTTTGTTGTTTTGATAATCAATAGTGATTTAGAGCATTTTTTCATATGACTATAGATAACTTTAATTTCTTCATGTGAAAACTTCCTGTTCATATCCTTTGACCATTTGTCAATTGGGGAATGACTTGTATTCTTATAAATTTGACTCACTTCTCTATATATTTTATAAATGAGGCCTTTATCAGAGACACTAGTTGTAAAAGTTCTTTCTTATTTTTCTACTTCCCTGCTAATCTTGGTTGCATTGGCTTTGTTTGTGCAAAAACTTTTCAATTTAATATAATCAAAATTGTCCATTTTACATTTCATAATGTTCTCTATCTCTTGTTTGGTCATAAATTCTTCCATTCTCCATATATCTGACAGGTAAACTACTCCTTGCTCTCACAGTTTGCTTATAGTCTCAGCTTTTATATCTAAATCGTCTACCCATTTTGACTTTATTTTGGTATACAGTATAAGATGTTGGTCTATGCCTAGCTTCTGCCATACTATTTTCCAGTTTTCCCAGCAGTTTTTGTCAAATAGTGAGTTCTTAGCCCAGAAGCTGGAGTCTTTGGGTTTATGTGTCTTGCACACCTAACCTATTCCACTGCTCCACCACTCTATTTCTTAGCCAGTACCAAGTAGTTTTGATGATTGCTGCTTTATAATTAATACAATTTAAGATCTGGTATGGCTAGGCCACCTTCCCTAGCATTTCTTTCCATTAATCCCTTTGATAATCTGGACCTTTTGTTCTTCCAGATGAATTTTGTTACTTTTTTCTAGTTTTATAAACTAATTTTTTAGTAGTTTGATTGGTATGGTACTGAATAAATAAATTAATTTAGGTAGAATTGTAATTTTTATTATATTAGCTCAGCCTACCCATGAGCAACTGATGTTTTTCCAATCATTTAGATCTGACTTTATTTGTGTGAAAAGTGTTTTGTAATTGTGTTCATATAGTTCCTGGGTTTGTTTTGGCAGGATAGACTCCCAAACATTTTATAATGTCTACAGTAAGTTTAAATGGAATTTCTCTTTCTATCTCTTGCTATTGGGCTTTGTTGGTAATATATAGAAGTGTTGATGATTTATGTGAGTTTATTTTGTACCCTGCAACTTTGCTAAAATTGTTTTTTTTTTATTTCAAGTAGTTTTTTACTTGATTCTCTAGGATTCTCTAAACATCATCATATCATCTGCAAAAAGTGATAGTTTTGTTTCTTCTTTGCCTATTCTAATTCCTTCAATTTCTTTTTCTTCTCTTATTGCTAAAGCTAATGTTTCTAGTACTATATTGAATAACAGTGGTGAAAATGGACATTCTTGTTTCACCCCCAATCTTACTGGAAATGCTTCTAGCTTATTACCATTACACATAATGCTTGCTAATGGTTTTAGGTAGATGCTACTTAACATTTTAAGGAAGACTCCATTTATTCCTATGCTCTCTAGTGTTTTTAATAGGAACGGCTGTTGTATTTTGTCAAAAGCTTTTTCTGCATCTATGGAGATAATCATATGGTTTCTGTTAGTTTTGTTGTTGATGTGGTCAATTATGCTGATAGTTTTCCTAATATTGAACCAGCCCTGCTTTCTTGGTATAAATCCCACCTGGTCATAGTGTATTGTTCTTGTGATAAATGTATATTTATTTAGGAAAAAAAGGGGAAAAATTGCACTATTTTTTATTGACTAGATCATCTTAAGTCCTAGGGGATAGGGGGTAGCGGGGACAAAGAATGCAATTCCCCGAATTAATTCTTTTTTTTTTTTGGTGCTAGAGGGTCCAATTTATCAAAAATGCTGTGGAAAGAACACTGGATTCAAAGTCAAAGAACTTGGGTTCAAATCCTAGCTTTCTTACTTACTGCCTACTTCTCTGACTTGACCTCTTGGGGCCTCAAGTCTTCATCAGAGGAGAGTTGGACTATTGTGACTAAAAGACCTTGGAAATTCGTCATTGCTCTAAGTCTATGATCCTATGATAGAAGACAGAATGAGGTTAGGAAAGGGAGGGGCCATGGAAAGACTTGGGGCTAATGGTAAAGGAAGTGACCAATTCTCAGAAATGATTACTCTGCTGATTATAAAACACGAGATGGGTAACAAAGGCTCATAGGATTTAGGGGACCCTTAGACATGGCTTAGTTCAACCACTTTTTATAGAGAAAGAAACTGAGGTCCAGGTCACTCAGCTAGCTAAATGGCAAAACTGGGATTAGAATCTAGGTCCACTTCTCTCAATCTGGTGCTCTTTCTTCTCTACCATCTTGGAAACCTTTCTCTAGGGCCATATCACTCTCATCATTATTGTCACAGAATTCAAGATGGTTTTGTTGATAATTTCCTGTAGGTACACTGTTAGTCAGCAGTTGTCACGACTTCAGAGTCACTGATTCAGCTGCAAAGAAGTCCAGTAACTTACTCACCAAGTGTCTAACCAGGCCACTCTACGTAGCAATCAAAGTAACTGAGTATGACTTGTTTTGGGGGTAGTTGGTGGCACAGTGGGTAGAGCACTAGGCTTAGAAGAAGACTCATCTTCCTGACTTCAAATCTGGTCTTAGATACTTACTAGCTGAGTGAACCTGGGCAAGTCACTTAACCTTGTTTGCCTCAGTTTCCTCATATGTAAAATGAGCTAGAGAAGTAAATGGCAAACTACTCCAGTATCTTTGCCAAGAAAATCCCAAATGGGGTCGTGGAGAGTCAGGCACCACTGAGCAACATCAATAAATGACTTGTTCGGCTTCTGATTGCACAGGAGTCAAATTTAAATATTAAATACATTCAATAAATTAAATAAGTCCTTATTAAGCACCTAATATGCACAAAGACACTATGCCTGGCATAAAATAAAAGTCCCTGACCTCGAGGAACTTACATTCTTCTAGAGTATAGAACAAGTAAGTAAATATAAAGTAATTTCTTTTTTTCTCAATGTAACTTTTGTTCTTTTAGGAATCTGTCCTCCCTACCACCCCTAACTCCCACTGAGAAGAAAACCCAAACTCCAAAACCAAATAAAGATCAAAACAAAAAATAAAGCCTTTGATACCTATGTGCATAGTCCAGCAAAACCAGTTCCCACATTGGTCGTGTCCTAAAATGTCTGTGTGCAGTTTTTAAAAT